TTTATAGAAAACACTTGAAACAGTAAAAGACTTGCATTGTATGCTATGCGCTTCTACTGCGTGTACGTGCTCTTATTTCGTTCAGTAGCTTGAGTTCCTGCCGTGCCATGATCTCCAGACAGTTATAGCCAACAATAGGTATGAACATTACTGGCCACGCTGTGTCCTTAGCACATAGTCTTTCCACCACTGCCTCACACAAAGAAGACAAGCAGGAAATTTGAAGTCATAAGATACGGTAGGAAGAATAGCATCATGTGACACACTGATGACGCACAGAATTGTGCATATTCCTTCCAACCAAAGCCTCACCTTGTGTGAAGCAACAAGAGACGGCACATCGAGCGGGTGTGTTCGCACATAGTGCATTCTGTCCGCCTCCTCGGTCCCGTGTGCCCACCATTCGATGGGGTCGTCATCCTTCATGCTCATACTGCACTCGCTCGCTCCATACTTTATTATACCCTGAGGAGGCAAAAAGTCAACGCAAGTCAATCAGTGTGAGCCGAGGGGTACCCTTGGTCCCGTGCGTCCACCATTCGATGGAATCGTCAGCCTTCATGCCCAGACTGCACTCGCTGGCTTCATGCATTATTATTCGCTGGGGGAGCAAAGTCAACACAAGTCAATGAGAGCCAATTAGTGTGAGCCAAAGGGGTTTCCTTGGTCCCATGCGTCCACCGTTCAATGGGATCGTCAGCCTTCATGTTCAACCTGCACTCGCGCAGAAGTGGTGATGCCATGCAAAGGGCACTCACACGGAAGTGGTGGTGCCACTTCAAACCCGTGGGTCAAGAAGGCCAAATTTGGTTCATCCTTCCTAATGTTGGTTGAATGTGCTCATTCCCGATCTCTGAGACCTAGGCCAACATTTTCGACACTCTTATTGGCTCGCGTCCAAATATTGTCCTCACTCCCAACCAGCCTTCCTAAGCTTGAATAGCTTGGCCTGCGGGGTTTAAATGCAAAAGGCACTCACACGGAAGTAGTGGTGCCACGAAAATGCATAAGGCACTCACGCGGAAGTGGTGATGGCACTTACTTGCAAAAAGCACTCACGCAGAAGTGGTGATGGCATGCAAAAGGCACTCACGCGGAAGTGGTGATGGCACTTACATGCAAAAGCACTCACGCAGATGTGGTGATGGCATGCAAAAGGCACTCACGCGGAAGTGGTGATGGCACTTACATGCAAAAGCACTCACGCAGATGTGGTGATGGCATGCAAAAGGCACTCAAACGGAAGTGGTGATGGCACTTACATGCAAAAGCACTCACGCAGAAGTGGTGATGGCACTTACATGCAAAAGCACGCACGCAGAAGTGGTGATGGCACTTACATGCAAAAGCACTCACGCAGATGTGGTGATGGAATGCAAAAGGCACTCACAAAAAAGTGGTGATGTCTGAGTGCTTCTGTAGGAAGGTCTTTCCCTCCCCCTCTGGGGTATGCAACGATATGATTCTCCACCACTCGCACCTTTTGAGGCGCCTCGAAAGACACACTCACACGGAAGTGGTGATGCCTGAGTGCGTCTGTGGGGCAGGGAGCTGCTGACAAAATAGGTTGCTATTCGAAAACAAACCCGCCCGGCCAGAAAGGCACTCACGCGGAAGTGGTGGTGCCTGAGTGCGTCTGTGGGCAGGTCATTCCCTCCCCCGCTTGGGTCTGCAACGACATGGTTCTCCACCACTCGTACCTGAGGGAGAAGGGGGGGCGAGGGGGAGAGTGAGAGCGCATGACGAGATAGGACAGAACGTGCCTCCCTCAATGGGGTCTGCAACGATATGGTTCTCCACCGCTCACACCTGTGGGAGAATGGGGGGCGAGGGGGTTAAATGGGTCATAAATGTTGGGAGGAGGTTGAGCTTGAAGAGACAACACAGGGTGGCCTCCCCCGCTGGGGTCTGCAACCACGTGATTCTCCACCACTCGCACCTGAGGGAGAGGGGAACGGAGGGGGCTAAAAGGGTTAGAGAGCGGTGACAGGAGGTTGAGAGGAGTCGAGATTGACGAAACAACACAAGGTGCCTCCCCCGCTGGGGTTCTCCACCACGTGGTTCTCCACCACTCGCCTCGCACCTATGACACGGAGAAAGGAGGATAAAAGGCTGAGAGGAGGGTGAGGGCGAATGAAAAGCCTTGGAGGACAGGGAGAGGACAGAAGGCCAAGAAAATACTTAGCACGCCTCCGAACGTTTCAGAATGCAACAGCACACAAAGCACACACACCTTCCTGGGATCAACAAACAGCTTGCGGTGGCCCCAGTGGTTGAGGCATAGGTTGGGACCCATGACAGGCACACACGGTTCTTAAAACCCAATCCACACCACTCTGGGACCAGCAAACATCCTAGTTGATTCACACCTTCCTGGGATCGACAAACAGCTTGCGGTGGCCCCAGTGGTTGAGGCACAGTTTAGGGTCGGTGGTGTTGTCCTTGGCCTGGCAGTAGATGAACGGCCAGTGCCACAACATTCGCTCCAATGGCCACCTGGGGTCTGTGAATGGAATGGAAGAGAGGAGATGAAAAGAGGAGGGGAGCAGATGACGGGTTAACAGGCACAGCAGGGAGTGGCACAGCGGGGAGTGGCACAGCAGGGAAGAGGGGATGAAGAGAGGATGGATGGAGAGAGGAGGGAGAGAAGGGGCGAGGAGAGGAAAGACGGACATACAGCGTGCGACTTTTGAGTCGACTCAAAAGGGGCGAGGAGAGGAAAGACAGACATACAGCGTGCGGCGTGCCTCTGTGCTACCAACCAAGACACCACACACGATTGGCCCCTTGGCGTGCCTCTGTGCTACCAACCAAGACACCACACACGATTGGCCCCTTGGCGTGCCTCTGTGCTACCAACCAAGACACCACACACGATTGGCCCCTTGGCGTGCCTCTGTGCTACCAACCAAGACACCACACACGATTGGCCCCTTGGCGTGCCTCTGTGCTACCAACCAAGACACCACACACGATTGGCCCCTTGGCGTGCCTCTGTGCTACCAACCAAGACACCACACACGATTGGCCCCTTGGCGTGCCTCTGTGCTACCAACCAAGACACCACACACGATTGGCCCCTTGGCGTGCCTCTGTGCTACCAACCAAGACACCACACACGATTGGCCCCTTGGCGTGCCTCTGTGCTACCAACCAAGACACCACACACGATTGGCCCCTTGGCGTGCCTCTGTGCTACCAACCAAGACACCACACACGATTGGCCCCTTGGCGTGCCTCTGTGCTACCAACCAAGACACCACACACGATTGGCCCCTTGGCGTGCCTCTGTGCTACCAACCAAGACACCACACACGATTGGCCCCTTGGCGTGCCTCTGTGCTACCAACCAAGACACCACACACGATTGGCCCCTTGGCGTGCCTCTGTGCTACCAACCAAGACACCACACACGATTGGCCCCTTGGCGTGCCTCTGTGCTACCAACCAAGACACCACACACGATTGGCCCCTTGGCGTGCCTCTGTGCTACCAACCAAGACACCACACACGATTGGCCCCTTGGCGTGCCTCTGTGCTACCAACCAAGACACCACACACGATCGGCCCCTTGGCGTGCCTCTGTGCTACCAACCAAGACACCACACACGATTGGCCCCTTGGCGTGCCTCTGTGCTACCAACCAAGACACCACACACGATTGGCCCCTTGGCGTGCCTCTGTGCTACCAACCAAGACACCACACACGATTGGCCCCTTGGCGTGCCTCTGTGCTACCAACCAAGACACCACACACGATTGGCCCCTTGGCGTGCCTCTGTGCTACCAACCAAGACACCACACACGATTGGCCCCTTGGCGTGCCTCTGTGCTACCAACCAAGACACCACACACGATTGGCCCCTTGGCGTGCCTCTGTGCTACCAACCAAGACACCACACACGATTGGCCCCTTGGCGTGCCTCTGAGCTACCAACCAAGACACCACACACGATTGGCCCCTTGGCGTGCCTCTGTGCTACCAACCAAGACACCACACACGATTGGCCCCTTGGCGTGCCTCTGTGCTACCAACCAAGACACCACACACGATTGGCCCCTTGGCGTGCCTCTGTGCTACCAACCAAGACACCACACACGATTGGCCCCTTGGCGTGCCTCTGTGCTACCAACCAAGACACCACACACGATTGGCCCCTTGGCGTGCCTCTGTGCTACCAACCAAGACACCACACACGATTGGCCCCTTGGCGTGCCTCTGTGCTACCAACCAAGACACCACACACGATTGGCCCCTTGGCGTGCCTCTGTGCTACCAACCAAGACACCACACACGATTGGCCCCTTGGCGTGCCTCTGTGCTACCAACCAAGACACCACACACGATTGGCCCCTTGGCGTGCCTCTGTGCTACCAACCAAGACACCACACACGATTGGCCCCTTGGCGTGCCTCTGTGCTACCAACCAAGACACCACACACGATTGGCCCCTTGGCGTGCCTCTGTGCTACCAACCAAGACACCACACACGATTGGCCCCTTGGCGTGCCTCTGTGCTACCAACCAAGACACCACACACGATTGGCCCCTTGGCGTGCCTCTGTGCTACCAACCAAGACACCACACACGATTGGCCCCTTGGCGTGCCTCTGTGCTACCAACCAAGACACCACACACGATTGGCCCCTTGGCGTGCCTCTGTGCTACCAACCAAGACACCACACACGATTGGCCCCTTGGCGTGCCTCTGTGCTACCAACCAAGACACCACACACGATTGGCCCCTTGGCGTGCCTCTGTGCTACCAACCAAGACACCACACACGATTGGCCCCTTGGCGTGCCTCTGTGCTACCAACCAAGACACCACACACGATTGGCCCCTTGGCGTGCCTCTGTGCTACCAACCAAGACACCACACACGATTGGCCCCTTGGCGTGCCTCTGAGCTACCAACCAAGACACCACACACGATTGGCCCCTTGGCGTGCCTCTGTGCTACCAACCAAGACACCACACACGATTGGCCCCTTGGCGTGCCTCTGTGCTACCAACCAAGACACCACACACGATTGGCCCCTTGGCGTGCCTCTGTGCTACCAACCAAGACACCACACACGATTGGCCCCTTGGCGTGCCTCTGTGCTACCAACCAAGACACCACACACGATTGGCCCCTTGGCGTGCCTCTGTGCTACCAACCAAGACACCACACACGATTGGCCCCTTGGCGTGCCTCTGTGCTACCAACCAAGACACCACACACGATTGGCCCCTTGGCGTGCCTCTGTGCTACCAACCAAGACACCACACACGATTGGCCCCTTGGCGTGCCTCTGTGCTACCAACCAAGACACCACACACGATTGGCCCCTTGGCGTGCCTCTGTGCTACCAACCAAGACACCACACACGATTGGCCCCTTGGCGTGCCTCTGTGCTACCAACCAAGACACCACACACGATTGGCCCCTTGGCGTGCCTCTGTGCTACCAACCAAGACACCACACACGATTGGCCCCTTGGCGTGCCTCTGTGCTACCAACCAAGACACCACACACGATTGGCCCCTTGGCGTGCCTCTGTGCTACCAACCAAGACACCACACACGATTGGCCCCTTGGCGTGCCTCTGTGCTACCAACCAAGACACCACACACGATTGGCCCCTTGGCGTGCCTCTGTGCTACCAACCATGACACCACACACGATTGGCCCCTTGGCGTGCCTCTGTGCTACCAACCAAGACACCACACACGATTGGCCCCTTGGCGTGCCTCTGTGCTACCAACCAAGACACCACACACGATTGGCCCCTTGGCGTGCCTCTGTGCTACCAACCAAGACACCACACACGATTGGCCCCTTGGCGTGCCTCTGTGCTACCAACCAAGACACCACACACGATTGGCCCCTTGGCGTGCCTCTGTGCTACCAACCAAGACACCACACACGATTGGCCCCTTGGCGTGCCTCTGTGCTACCAACCAAGACACCACACACGATTGGCCCCTTGGCGTGCCTCTGTGCTACCAACCAAGACACCACACACGATTGGCCCCTTGGCGTGCCTCTGTGCTACCAACCAAGACACCACACACGATTGGCCCCTTGGCAGGGCAGGCAACGCCTGTGGTCCCACCACAAGCGCCCATGGCTCGTATAGGGCAGTCAGGACCAGGCAACGCCACGCATGTGCGGCCCGCACAACCAAGCAAGTCCATGCCAGCACTAGACTGCACAGACAAGCAAGAGTGCGTACCATTTCGTTGTCACCTTGAGAGGGGAGGCAGCGCCTGTGGTCCCTCCCACCACAGGCGCCCATGGCTCAAATAGGGCAGTCAGGAACAGGGCCAACCACATAGTCAGTACTGCCTGCTTCTCCGCGGAGCAATCAAGTCACCTCGCACCGTTATCGCCCTGGGCAGGAAGGCAGCGCTCGTGGTCCCACCAGAGGCAGCCGTGGCTCACACAGGGCAGTCAGACCCTCCCTCATGAGGGGCGATCAGAAGCAGGCCCTACCAAGCTGCACTGCCAAAACTGCACAACCAAGCAAGTGTGCGTACCGTTGTCGCCTTGGGCAGGAAGGCAGCGCTCGTGGTCCCACCACAGGCACCCGTGGCTCACATAGGGCAGTCCCTCGTGAGGGGCGAGAAAGTCGTGCACGCTCATTGGGTTGGGTACTCGCTCCTGTGGGTAAAGAGACAGCGGGATTCGGGAGTAGTGGCTCAGTAGGGTGAGGTGAAGCAAGGAGCAAGGACACCCAAGTGTGAAGCAGGAGCAAGGACACCCAAGTGTGAAGCAGGAGCAAGGACACCCAAGTGTGAAGCAGGAGCAAGGACACCCAAGTGTGAAGCAGGAGCAAGGACACCCAAGTGTGAAGCAGGAGCAAGGACACCCAAGTGTGAAGCAGGAGCAAGGACACCCAAGTGTGAAGCAGGAGCAAGGACACCCAAGTGTGAAGCAGGAGCAAGGACACCCAAGTGTGAAGCAGGAGCAAGGACACCCAAGTGTGAAGCAGGAGCAAGGACACCCAAGTGTGAAGCAGGAGCAAGGACACCCAAGTGTGAAGCAGGAGCAAGGACACCCAAGTGTGAAGCAGGAGCAAGGACACCCAAGTGTGAAGCAGGAGCAAGGACACCCAAGTGTGAAGCAGGAGCAAGGACACCCAAGTGTGAAGCAGGAGCAAGGACACCCAACCCAAGTGTGAAGCAGGAGCAAGGACACCCAAGTGTGAAGCAGGAGCAAGGACACCCAAGTGTGAAGCAGGAGCAAGGACACCCAAGTGTGAAGCAGGAGCAAGGACACCCAAGTGTGAAGCAGGAGCAAGGACACCCAAGTGTGAAGCAGGAGCAAGGACACCCAAGTGTGAAGCAGGAGCAAGGACACCCAAGTGTGAAGCAGGAGCAAGGACACCCAAGTGTGAAGCAGGAGCAAGGACACCCAAGTGTGAAGCAGGAGCAAGGACACCCAAGTGTGAAGCAGGAGCAAGGACACCCAAGTGTGAAGCAGGAGCAAGGACACCCAAGTGTGAAGCAAGAGCAAGGACACCCAAGTGTGAAGCAGGAGCAAGGACACCCAAGTGTGAAGCAGGAGCAAGGACACCCAAGTGTGAAGCAGGAGCAAGGACACCCAAGTGTGAAGCAGGAGCAAGGACACCCAAGTGTGAAGCAGGAGCAAGGACACCCAAGTGTGAAGCAGGAGCAAGGACACCCAAGTGTGAAGCAGGAGCAAGGACACCCAAGTGTGAAGCAGGAGCAAGGACACCCAAGTGTGAAGCAGGAGCAAGGACACCCAAGTGTGAAGCAGGAGCAAGGACACCCAAGTGTGAAGCAGGAGCAAGGACACCCAAGTGTGAAGCAGGAGCAAGGACACCCAAGTGTGAAGCAGGAGCAAGGACACCCAAGTGTGAAGCAGGAGCAAGGACACCCAAGTGTGAAGCAGGAGCAAGGACACCCAAGTGTGAAGCAGGAGCAAGGACACCCAAGTGTGAAGCAGGAGCAAGGACACCCAAGTGTGAAGCAGGAGCAAGGACACCCAAGTGTGAAGCAGGAGCAAGGACACCCAAGTGTGCAAGCAAACCCTCATGCGGAGAGAGAAAGCGAGATGAGGAGTGTGCGGATGGGGAGGTCGGGATGCTTGCATGTGGACCTTGCCATTGTCAGAATCCCAATCACTAACTGCTGGGATAAAATGGTTTTTAAGTAGTGGGTGAGTGCGCCTATAACCCTCCAGACAAGCGTGTCTGTAACTCTTTCCTAGGATTAACTTGAGGGTCCCCAATGCACATCTTCTGACACCTCCCTTCACTGGGATGCCCTAGGACACGGCACAACGGCAGCAACACATGGACGCCAGCATGTGCGCACATGGACATTCGAACCTGAAGCCTTCGCTCTGATGTCATATCAGAATCTCAACCACTAATCACTGGGATAAAAGGGCTTTAAAAGTAGCGGGTAAATCCGTCCATAACCTCCCAGGCAAGCGTGCCTATAACCCTTCTCTAGGATCAATCGGAGATCCCTCGTGCGGGTCTTCTAACAGCCACCTGGCCGGTGGGAAAATCACTTTCGAGAATCCTCAATAGAGATTTCGACATAGCGGACCTGACCATCTGGTCGTTGATGAAGGCGAACTGCGTTGGAATCACTTTTGAGAATCATCCAAGGGAGTGAGTGCGGCCTTGCGTGCTCACCTGCCCATCCATAAAGATGAACTCGTCAAAGTCAAGGTACATGAGCCACTTGGAAAGGCGGCGGAAGCGATACACACAATCGTTCACTATCATCACCTGGTGGGGCGGAGAGGAGACAAGAAGGAATGGGGACGGGTGTAGACGATAGAAATGATGGACGGGGTGGCATTAAGCGACCGATACACACAATCGTTCACTATCATCACTTGGTGAGGTGGTGCGGAACAAAGACAGGACGGATGGAGGGATGGCGAGCCGGTGAGGTTGAGGGATGGCGAGCCGGTGAGGTTGAGGGATGGCGAGCCGGTGAGGTTGAGGGATGGCGAGCCGGTGAGGTTGAGGGATGGCGAGCCGGTGAGGTTGAGGGATGGCGAGCCGGTGAGGTTGAGGGATGGCGAGCCGGTGAGGTTGAGGGATGGCGAGCCGGTGAGGTTGAGGGATGGCGAGCCGGTGAGGTTGAGGGATGGCGAGCCGGTGAGGTTGAGGGATGGCGAGCCGGTGAGGTTGAGGGATGGCGAGCCGGTGAGGTTGAGGGATGGCGGGATGGAGAGCTAATGAGGTTAAGGGATGGAGGGTTGGAGGGGTTGACCAATTCACACACAGAGTCTTTAACCATTGCATTCTGGTGGTTATGATTGTGTCGTTAAAGTACTTAGAAGCAGGTTTATTTCATTTGGCACGCTACATTCTGAGACCTTTCAATACATGGCAAGACATGCACTCGGCATCAATGCATGTCACCATTGCATTACATGCCACCATTGCATGCCAAGTCACCAGAGCATGCCAGCTCACCTGTCCATAATACCATGACTCATAGTTCACCACGTCACGAAAGTCGGTGACTTCCACGATCCCTCCATCCAGAAACGGCTGCGGGGAGAGGGTAACCAAGCGAGTGGTCATAAAGAAATGGAAGCAACATGACATAACATTGGAAAATCAGTGACTTCCAGGATCCCTCCGTCCAGAAACGGCTGCAGAAGATGGAAAGCAAGAGAACGGTTGGGGGAGAAGAGTTATAACGGTTAGACGAAAGCGGAAGCAGAATGACATACAGGGAGGGAAAAAAGAAGAAGAAAAAAAGACTCACCTGAAGAACAGAACCCAGCTGCAGGTCCACACCGCTAACATCGTACAGGACATAATGGCCCACGCCCATGCGAATGTGCAGATGAAAGGAGGCACGTACTGTCACGTGTCTCACCTGCAGCATGGAGCGCAGATGCATGTCCATGCTGCCGACATGGTAGGGCACATAATGGCCCACTCCCATGCGGATGTGCAGATCCATCTATCAACATGTCATGTCACTAACATAAGAGTATGCAAACCCATACCTGGAGCACGGAGCGCAGTTGCAGGTCCACCCCGCCCACATCGTAGAGAACATAATGGTCCACTCCCATGCGGATGTGCAGATCCATCCACTGGCGGACACGCTCCGCTCTGACCTGCAGGCATGCCACATGGAACATGTCATATGCCACATGGAACATGTCATATGCCACATGAATTTGCATGGCATGGCAGTGACTTGGCTCTGACACATGATGCACCTGGATGGTCTTCTCTCCACCCAGTCATGCCCCATGGGCACCAGGAAACTCTTTTGGTTTGAGTGAGAACACCCTTTGGATGCCCATGCCTTTGCACGGCAGCAACTGATGCTCTGATATATGGTTCACCTGTATGGTGCTCTCTCCACCCAGCCACGTCCCATGGGCACCAGGCAACTCTTTTGGTTTGATTGAGCACGAATTAGGTGCCGTGCCTTGGCACGGCAGCGACTGATGCTCTGATACACGGTGCACCCGATTGGTGTTCTTTTCTCTCCACCGAGCCATGTCTCATGGTAGAAAGAGGATTCACCTGGTGGTGGATGGGGGGCGAGCAGTGCGTGATGTTGTGCAGGAGAGGGGGATAGAAGAGAGAGCTTACCTGGTGAGGAAAGAGAGAGAATCGGTTGTGAACGGAAGAGAGCCTACCACGTGCTACATGGTGAACAGGAAAATAAAAAACTCACCTGGTGGTGGATGGGGGGCGAGCAGTGCGTGATGTTGTGCAGGAAGGGGGCATGCGGCACGGCGTTCACCACCTCCCCCGCCTGCTCCTCATACACCACCACGTCCTCCCCGTCTATGCGCATGTGCAGCCATCCTCCCTCTGCTACATATGCTTCCCTGTGCAGGGTACACAGGGCACACGGGCAGGGTAGGGCAGGGAGGGCACTCAGGGCACCATACTGAGACCACCTCCCCCGCCTCCTCCTCATACACCACCCACGTCCTCCCCGTCTATGCGCATGTGCAGCCACCCCCCATCTGCTACATATGCCTCCCTGCAGTGGAGCATGGGGCACAAGGCAGGGCACAAGGGCAGGGCATATGCCTCGTTGGTATAAAGTTGCAGTGTATGGGTCATCATGGGGCATGGGATATGGGGCATGGGCAGGGCAGAGAGAAGAAAAGAACCCCGTCTTACCTTGTAAGCGTGCACATCCGATCCAAATTACTATTTCTGAAGTAGATCAGACTTTTGAGTCGACTCAAAAGTCAGCTCTGAAGTAGATCAAAGTCCCCCACACGAAAAAGAAGGAGTGTTTTGAGACGTCTCAAAGTAGATCAAAGTCCCCCACACCTCGTTTCACCCACTTACTCACCTCTTGAGCATGCAGAGCAGAATGAGCCTGTGGTGTTGATTTGACTTCTTGAGGAATAATAGATCCCACGCCTCATCCACTCAACCCATTCACCCACTTACTCACCTCTTGAGCGTGCAGAGCAGAATGAGCCTGTGGTGTTGTTTTGACTTGAGTGTGCAGGGCAGGATCAATAAAACCCACGCCTCACCCACTCACTCACCTCTTGAGTGTGCAGAGCAGAATGAGCCCGGCATATTTCCACCAATGGTGTTCTCCCACGTGTAGAACCTCCACACTGCCATGGATCCACCCCCTCTTCTCCTCCTCCGCCTCCTCCCTCCTCTCCTCCTCCTCCTCCCTCGACTCCCCCGGTTTCTCCCCATTCACAGAGGGATCACTCTCAGGTGATTCACCAGGTGAGTCAGCAGATGAGCCATTCCCTCCCGCACCTTCTCCTCCCCCTTCCCCTCCTCCCGCCTTTTCCCCACTTTCCTGTGCTGCTGTGGCGTCCCCTCCTCCCTCCTCTAGTTGCCTCCTTTTCTGAGGCACCTCAAATCTCTCAGCAGCATTCCCCCCAGTCGACTCCTGAACCATAATCTTGCCCTCTTTTCCTCTCCTCAGCGCTCTCCTCCCCTCCTCCTCCCTCCGAGCCTCCGTTTTCCCCTCTCCCCTCCTCCCCTTCGTGCGCACCACGTTCCTTCTCTCACCCGTCCTCTTTCCGCCTCTGCGCCTCTCCCCCTTCCCTCCTCCCTCCAGCCCTTTTCCTCCTCCAGTTTCCCTCACCATCAGCCTCCTCCTCCTCTTCCCTCCCTCTGAAGTTCCTCTCTTTGCATCGTGTCCAGCTTGTTTCCCTGGTTCCCACGCGCATTTGCCCACCTTACACACAGAATTGCACAGATTACACACACATCACCAGGTACAGGTTGGTTACAACGTGCATGCATTGAATGTTTTTTTAGGCGCCTCAAAAGTCAGCCGCCCTCTCCCACCTGGTTTCCCTGATTCCCTGGTTCCCTGGTAAAGGTTTTGAGACGTCTCAAAAGGTCCCCTGGTTCCCACGTGCATTTGCCCACCTTACACACGAAATCACTCACAGTTACAACGTGCGATGAATGTTACGTAACAAACAATCCAGAAAAGCAAGAGTAACATAAGACAGGAATCAGTCAAATATCATCAATCCTGCACCAGTGCACTTACAAACGAATCACTGATTTCACTCACGAACACTTCAGCAGCAGGTGTGGAGAAGCTGGAGGAGAAGGTGAGTGTGTGTGACTTTTGAGTCGTGGAGAAGCTTTCCCCCATCCATCCCCTCACGTTCCTTCCTTTCCCTTCCCTCTCGTCATCCCACTCCTCTCCTCACCTTCCTGCCTTCATCCAGGGCGCGGGCAGGGCAGCCAGCTCAACAGCGGCAAACTGAGTAGGGGAAATTCGATACCCGGAGAACTGGGCGAACGACACCAGCCCCACACGCCTGAACGTGTGCTGCCGCCACTCCGCCGGGCGAAACGGATGTATGCTATCCCCACGTTTCTACCTCACCTTCCTTCCTCACTCAATCATTCATTCCCCGTGCTCACACTCACCTTCTCCCCTTCCCTGCCCTGTCCTCCCCCCTTCCTCACCCCTCCCTCCACTCCCCATCCCCCGCCTCACCTTCCTGCCTTCATCCAGAGCGCGGGCGGCCAGACCAACAGCAGCAAACTCGGTGGGCGACACGCGATACCCGGAGAACTGAGCAAACGACACCAGCCCCACACGCCTGAACGTGTGCTGCCGCCACTGCGCCGGCCGAAACATGTGCGCGATATCCCCCCCCTCAGGCTCGTTAGATAGACCGCTGTGTCCAGCACCCCCGCTGCTGCTGTCAGGAGCTGCAGGTTCGGAGCTTGGTTCGGCGCTTGGTTCGGAGCCGTCCGAAGGAGTGTTGGCGGTGGCATTGGCAGGAGAGGAGGCAGGAGTGGTGTCAGTAGGTTGTTTTGCTGACTCTCCTGCTGCGGCTGCTGCTGCTGCTGCTGCTGCGGCTGCTGCTGCTGCGGCTGCTGCTGGCGATGATGGTGGTGAATCGTTCTGGGTGAGGGACTGAGGGGTTGAATGGTAAGAAGCAGAGGTAGAAGGAGAAAGGGCATAAGCAAGCAGGCAGGGCAGGTTGGAACGATATTTTATTCGAGGCGACTCAAGAAAAAGGGCAAGCAAGAAGGGCAGCTTGAACAAAGACCATGAAAGCCATGATAGCTTACAGTAGCTTCTTTCTGTGCGCCTCTGAAAGCTTGTGTTTGCAGGAAACACATTATGCTTGTTTTATTTCATAGAAACCCACGGATATCTTCAGCAAAATTCAATGTTTCTGTACGAGTGACGCTGCTTACTGATTGGGCAAATTGCGGGGGTATGGAAGAGGAGGCACGGATGAGTGCTTGCTCCTCGTCCTGCAAAATTGAAGTCTAGTTTTGAGGCACCTCAAAACTAGCGAGTGATGCTTACTGATTGAGCAAACTGCGGGGGTATGGAAGAGGAGGCACAGATGAGTGCTTGCTCCTCGTCCTGGAAGATTGAAGTCTAGTTTTGAGGCACCTCAAAACTAGCGAGTGATGCTTACTGATCGAGCGAACTGCGGGGGTATGGAAGAGGAGGCACGAATGAGTCTGCTTTTAAGTCGACTCAACTCAAACGCAAGGTCAATGTTTCTGTACGAGTGGCGCCGCTTACTGATTGAGCAAATTGCGGGGGTATGGAAGAGGAGGCACGGATGAGTGCTTGCTCCTCGTCCTGGAAGATTGAGATGATGTCAAACCAGAAGACGAACACCTGGGAAGGGGGAAGGGGAGGCGGGGAGGGAGGTTAAGGGGAGGGGGAAAGGTGGGTTCATTGGGCAGGCAGCAGGCAACTGCCTTGCTTGCTCCTCGTCCTCCTGCTTGCGATGTGTGTGCTTCTTCTAAGTCTGCCTCAGAGATTGAGAAGACCTATAACAAAAGAGAATGAGCGCTTGGAGGAAAACTGTTGGAAAATCTCCCAGATGATTTTTTAGGCGCCTTGAGAATCTCCCAGATGAGCCTCACACACACGCCCTCCCTCTCACCACTGAGCCTCACACACACGCCCTCCCTCTCACCACTGAGCCTCACACACACGCCCTCCCTCTCACCACTGAGCCTCACACACACGCCCTCCCTCTCACCACTGAGCCTCACACACACGCCCTCCCTCTCACCGCTGAGCCTCACACACGCGCCCTCCCTCTCACCACTGAGCCTCACACACACGCCCTCCCTCTCACCACTGAGCCTCACACACACGCCCTCCCTCTCACCACTGAGCCTCACACACACGCCCTCACCACTGAGCCTCACACACACGCCCTCCCTCTCACCACTGAGCCTCACACACACGCCCTCCCTCTCACCACTGAGCCTCACACACACGCCCTCCCTCTCACCACTGAGCCTCACACACACGCCCTCCCCCTCACCACTGAGCCTCACACAAAAACCACTTCTCTCTCACCACTTGAGTTGAGCCTCACACACGCACGCCCCCTCACCAGTAAAAGGCAGACTGCCAGAAGAATGTAAGGCGTGGAACCCTTGGGCAGCTGTGGGGGGGTGTGGACCGAGGAGGAATAGAATGAGGAGGAATAGAATGAGGAGCAACGGAGTGGGGAGAATTTGAATGAAGGAGGATGGGATTGGGGAGAATGAAATTGGAGGAGAATTGAAAAGAACGAAAGAGGGGTGCTGGGAAAGGGGGTTGGGGTGGGGGGTGGGTGGATGGATGGGGGGAATAAGGAAAAAGCATATCGCTTGCCTTGCAAGATATTTTGAAAAATCGAACAAATTTCTCACAGGGTGGTAATCTGCATCGAAGCACAGCACACGCGGGGATAAAAGACAAAACCAAATACCTTCCCTCGGACGCGGGGCGGCTAAGGCAGAGAAACGCCACTCCTCCCCTCACACACAGGCGGCTAAGTCAGAGAAGCACTGCACCTCCCAGCGTTGAATGAGTCGTGTTTTGAGTAGACTCAAAAATCGCTCCCCTCACACACCACTTGCGGCTAAGTCAGAGAAGCACCGCACCTCCCGGCGTTGAATGAGAGCGTGACATTGCTGCATGATGGACGCGGATGCCGCTGACGTCATCAGAGCCTGCCATCCCCCTCCGTGGGAAGCGGACGCTGACGTCACTGGCTGCTGCTGATGCTGCTGCTGCTGCTGCTGCTGCTGCTGCTGCTGCTGCTGAAGCAGAGGCTGATGTTCCCAGTTCCCCTGATTTCCCTGATTGTAACCCACGAGTCGCTCCTGCTGCACCCTATGCTCGTTGTGATTCCCCTGATTCCCTTGATACTCCTGATTTCCCGGATGCCCTAAGTGGTGTCCAGAATGCCGATGGTCCTGATGGCCGTGCTGGTGCCTGGAACTTTCGCCTTCAGATGCCGACGGTGAAGCAGCTAGACCGTTTCCGCTACTCACGCCACTTCCGGGACTCCCTGCTCTCCTGTGCATCCCCTTGCTCTTCTCTTTCTCTCTCCCCCTTCCCTTCTCCCTCTCCTCTTTCGCTCTCCCCCTTCCCTTCTCCTTATCCTCTTTCCCTCTTTCCTTGCTACCCCTCTCCCTACCCTTTTCTCGCCCCCTCTCCTTATCCCCCTCCTTCCCAGCCATCGCCTGCTGTTTTTTTCGATAGCTGCTGCTCTTTGAGTCGCCTCAAAATTCGGCCATTCCGTGCTTTTCTCGATGGCTCCCTGTTACAACTGACGACTACTCGTGACACGGTTCTGGCCAATCAGAGTACTCATGGGAGGAACAACTGGGTTACGACGGAAGTTGATACGGAGTTTCTGCAGCAGCGTGCGGGGGGAAACCTTCAACCGCACCGAGCAGCTCTGAGCAAGTCTGAAGTCTGAGTAAGGAGGTCGCAATTAAAGAGTATGTGAATGCAAATCGCGGTAACGTTGCTACGGGAGGAATGTAAAAGCTGGGAGCGATGCGGACGGTGAAGAAACAGGAATGTCAGCGTTCCGCTTCTGATTCGACGGTCAGCCTACGTTCCTGAAGAAATCTACGGTTGACGTCATCTCTATTCTGTACGGAGCTGCTCGGAGAACGTGAACATCGTCTCAGGTTGATCAATGATGCTTAGGGCGCGTAACCATTTTGACGGTTTCGGTTCGTTAACGAACCGCTCGTGCGATTTAAGCGTGCGACGTCGCACACAAAACTTAACCGGATGGAACTCTCTTGGAAAACACAGGCGATATGAAACGGTTCGATTACCGTTCGTTTATCGTCCGTTCGAAAAAAACAGTCAAGTGCAAAATGGTTACATCGCACTGTAATCCCGCTTGTTGAATCTACAACTTACGAAACCTACTCTAACCTCTCAAAATAACGATCCTCAGGCCAGTTGACTGATCGACAATGTATCACCACAGCAGGTGGAGCAACAAGAAAAACGTTTTTCAGACGCCGCCTCCATATCAGTTTTGGCCACGGGGTGCGTGAAAAACTTCGTTCGCTATTGAACGATGATAGGTTTTTTCAGTCAGACTAGGCATTTAGAAATTATGTTTTTTTAGGTTTAAGTGGCTATAGTGGCACTGTTTTCTATCCTCATAATAGCCTCAGTTCCAAACGCATTGTAGCGCGGATTGGTAGCTCCTCTTCCTCGGTGCTTCCACTCCACTTACGTCACGGTTGTGTCAGACGGTGACGTGGCCTATTTTCAAGCAAGAAACGACTCTACGCGCAGCGCAGCACAGTATCGCATCACGGCAGTACGTTCCTCTTGTGAAAGAGTGATTTGGAGGAGATTATTCAATCCTCAGACCCCTGTATCCACAGCCTCCCACTACTTCATCTCCCAGTTACCACCTTTAACGATTCGCCTCCTCGCGTTGATTCCAGTTTCGCATTCCAATCCGTCGCCTGCATTTGTCACAGATTCTCCGCGCTCCTCCTCCCGCGTTCCGCCTTTCCGCGCTCGGCGTTCCGCGTCCCGCTTTTCAAATTCCAGGAGTTCCGGTTTCCGGATTCCGGGGATCTGCCAGTCACCATGCAGCACCTACGATCACGCGGCGCCTCTTTCGCCGATACTCTCGCTGCTCGGTAAACCTTGGAACATGCGCCTATTCGGAGTAAACCGGAGGGCTCCCATCCGAGTAAACCAGTGGAAGATCCACGAAATAATATCCTCATCCTTTTTCGTGTTAATTCAATGTATTTTTTCATTCAATGGGACTACAGATTCGTGTTAATTGCTGTATTTTTTTATTCTCAAAGAAGGATCTGTTCTGCATCACTCGTTAAGTTCTCGTCTTTCTTCCCCGCCCTCACCCTCCCTTCCTCGCTCCCTCCCTTCCGTTTGCCCAGCCTCTCTCCTCTCCTCTCCCGCACTTTCCCCGCAGCTTCCTACCATGCATCTGTCCACGTGTTCCCATGCATGGCTGAGGAACGCCAGAGCCAAGGGGCAGGCTTGGCAGCTGCAGCTGGTTCGGCAGCAGGCTCGGCAGCAACACCAGGTTCGGCACCAGCAGCAGGAGCAGGAACGGCAGTGTCAGCAGCGGGAGCGGCTGCAGGATCAACAGCAGCAGCAGAGGCAGTCAGACAGAATCTGAACAGGCAAGGATGTAATGTGCTTGGATGGCTTGTGCGGGCAAAATACAGTCAGGCGAAAAAGGCACGCAATGGCTTCTTCTAAGGAATTTATGAGGCGTATTTTTAGCCGTAATCCTCCTATACTTGCACGCAACCTGCCATCAATGGTTGCACGATAGCAAGAGGGCTATTCTTTGTGATTGCTCTCTTTCTCTCTCTTCTGCTCTCTGAGAATTCTCAAAAACCTCCTCCTATACTTGCACGCAACCTGCCATCCATGGTTGCAGCAAGAGGGCTCGCTTTGTGATTGCTCTCTTTCTCTCTCTGCTTCTCTCCCCCTTTCTGCGCTTCCCATTTCAGGATGCTGGATGGTGGGTGGGCTTTTGTACCAGTCAGGTCAGCATGAGCCTTTTCCGCCCCTCATGCCTCTCCCACTCCTCGCAGGCTGCGCTACCGCAGCAGGCAGAGGGGGTTCTTAGAACTGGATCTGCTGCTGGGCAAGTGGGTGGAGCAGCACCTGCCCTCTCTGGACCCGCCTCACTTGACAGCACTTGCACGCCTCATGGACGAGGTGAGTCTGACCTCTCTCTGCTGTTGGACGAGGTTAATTGAGGAGCAGACAGAGGGGCTTCCTGGAGCTGCATCTGCTGCTGGGCAAGTGGGTGGAGCAGCACCTGCCGTCCCTGGACCCGCCTCACTTGTCTGCTCTCGCACGCCTCTTGGACGAGGTGAGAGAGATCTCTTGGCTTGTAAACGAGGTGAGAGCTCTTGGGTGGTGGGCGTTTGGAGGTGAGGGTGCGTCGAGGTGAGGGTGCGTCGAGGTGAGGGTGCGTCGAGGTACCTGTTTGACTGTACCTGTTTGACTGTACCTGTTTTGATTGTACCTGTTTTGACCGTACCTGTTTGACCGTACATGTTTTGACCGTACCTTTTTCTTACCGTACCTGTTTGACCGTACCCGTTTGACCATACCTGTTTGATCATTCCTCTATCACCGCACCTGTCTGGCGTACCGGATACGCCTGTGCACCCGCCGCTGTGTTCCTATACCTCAGGCTCTGCTCTGCTGCTTACCTCCCTCCCCCACCACTCCCCTCCCTCCCCATCCTCCCCTACGTGCACAACCACGAGGGTTCGGATCTTTTCAAGTGGTATAGTCACCCTCTGCATGCATACCTCTGAAACTTCCCCTTTCACTCCCTCTTCCATTCCCCTGTCCCCCCGTCCTCCCTCGCCCGTGCACACACAGGAGAGTCCGGATCTCTTCAAGTGGTTCACGGGACAGGAGCAGGCGCCAGAGCACGTGCTTCAGAATCCTGTGAGTTCTTCGAATACAAGCCCTGCAGCACGTGGTTCAGAAATCCGTTTGTATTCTTGGGAACTTTCACTCAAGTGGTCCACGGGGCAGCAGCAAGCTTCACATCACGGCATGCCGCTCAGAATCCTGTGACTCGATCTCGGGCGATTTTTTTGTCGACCCCAAAAATCAGAATCCTGTGACTCTTTTCTTGAGCACCTCGAAAAAAAAACCCTGCTGCAACACTTGGTTCAAATTTCTGTGTGTAGAATGTTTTCAAATCCGCACAAGTGCTTCACGGGGCAGGAGCAAGCAAGCCCCATAAGCGGGCTGGCACCACATGCCTGAAAGTTCTGAGAGTATGTTTCTGAAGCATGTTCCATGTGTCTAAAAAACAAGTCCTGCAGCATGTCTCACTATCCTGGAGTTTTTTTTTTAGCAGAGGCTGCATCGCATGCACCCAGCAGTACCCAACCAGCACCCAACACCACCCAACCCCTCCCTCATCCCAGGTGTATCTCTCCATTCGCAGCAAGGTAGAGGAGAGGCTGCATCGCATGCACCCTGCAGTGAAGGCCGAGCCTGGGCTGCTGTGGGTGAGAGGAAATGGGAGGAAACGTTTTCTCACTGCCCTTTGATCCCCCCTCTCCCCTTCCCCCTCCCAGGTGTACCTCTCAATCCGCAGCAAGGTAGATGAAAGGCTGCACCGTATGCACCCAGCAGTGAAGGCAGCGCCTGGCCTGCCGTGGGTGAGGGGGTGGGAGGACATGCAGAGGCAACCGGGCACACCCCCTGCTGGTAACCAGTAATTGCTTGTGCAAAACGCAGCTCAGAGGTTGCTTCATGCACCCAGCAGTTGAGGGGAAATTACTCCTGGCCTGCCGTGGGTGAGAGGATGGGAGGACATGCAGAGGCAACCGGGCACGCCCCCTGCCGGCAACCAGTAGAGGCTTGACAGGAGCAACGAAAGGCTATGCTTTCTGTGTGATGGATGAGTGTACTTTGTTCGTGTGTGAGGGGACGCCACGCCTAGCTTGCCGTGGGTGCGGGGGTGGGAGGACATTCAGAGACAACCAGGCACGCCCCCTGCTGGCAATCAGTAGACGCTTGTGTATTACCCAACTCAGGGATGGGTTCATGCACCCTGCAGTGAAGGGATTATCTCGCTTAGCACAAATTGTACAGGGTTTTTACAGTGTGTTAGGGTGTATTTCTGAAGCGTGTCACAAAGGCCTCGCGTCTCAATCGAAGAGTTGCAGTGCGGTGGAAATGTTTGACACTTAGGTGCAATGCGGTGCAGATTGGTACAGAGGTTGTATGACGCGATTGAGACATTTGTGTCAAGAGCGGAATGTACCCTTACATTACAGTGCAAGTATGGAAGTGATTGTTTCGTGAATGTTCCCACAGCATATTACTAGTATTGTGGCCCATTCTGTCAGGAAATTGTATTGGCTGCACAACAAAAAAAACATAAAAATCGTAACAAAGATGTGCGTCTGCAGTATCGTGTGAATTGTAACCCAAGATATACGTATATACAGTAACACAGCATTAGCGTAGCACAAGTATGCACAGAAAGCCGTTCAGCAAACTCTGTAGGTGCAGTAAGAGAACGGGGAGAGTACTAGGAGTGGCTCATGCACAAGATGTTTGAAACTTAAGAAAGAAATTGATCTCCCAGACATAGCAAGCAAATAGTTCAGCTGCCTCGGTAAGTGGAGTAGGAGAAGGGGGAGAGCAGCAGCGGCACATGGAAGTGCTCCCTCTCTTGCTCTGGCAGCACTTGGAACACTATCGACACACTCGGGAAGAACCCACCACCACTACCACCACCACTGCCACCACCACTGCCACTGCCTCTCCCTGTGCCGGCTTGTGAGTCCCCTGTCCCTCTTGCTCCTTGCATCCGACCAAGATACTCCCCTGTTGCAAAGCTCAGCCGGTATATCCCAGCTCCCACCCCCCCACCTCCCATCCCTCCACCTCCTACCCCACCGCTTCCCACCACTCCTCCCCCATCTCCACCCCTGGCAAGCAGCCCAGCAGCCCTGCCATCAGCATTTGTCACTCCCCCGCCCACTCGCTCCCATCCGAACCCCACATCACCACTCTCACTCTCCCCTCGGGCTTCTATCTGTCGCTCCAGCAGCACTCTGATGCCAGCAGCGGGTCTGCCCAGAGCCACATCCAGCACGTGTGTGGAGATGGATGGAGGCTTGGTGCTTGTAGCGGGTGTGACTGTGGCGGGTGGGGTTATAGCGGGTGCAGCTGTGGCTGGAGCACCTGGGGTAAGCATGGGGAAGCAGGACAAAGGGGGGAATCAGGAAGAGTAGATAACTCAGGGCTGGCTCAGGGATGAGTGAAGGATGGCTCAAGGGGGTCGCCCCTGCACCGCTGTGATGCCGACAGGGGGTCTGCCCAGAGCCGACTTTTGAGGCGCCTCAGAAGGCTTTTGAGGCGCCTCAAAAGGATGGCTCTCAAGGGGGTCGCTCCTGCACCACTGTGATGCCGGCAGCGGGTTTGCCCAGAGCCACGTCACTCTGCCCCCCCTGTCTCCCCCCTCCCTCTCTGCTGACCCTCCTGCTTCTATCTGTCGCTCCAGCAACATTTTGATGCCGGCAGCGGGTCTGCCCAACGCAACATCCAGCACGTGAGTGGATATGGACGGATGCTTGGCGCTTGTAGCGGGTGTGGCTGTAGCGGGTACAGCTGTGACTGGAAGAGGTAGTGACAACAGGGAAGCAGGAAAAGGAGGGGATTATAAAGGAGGGGAATCAGCAGCAGGGGCCTTGAGGTTGGTTCAAGGTTAGGAGTCCACGTGTTGAGATGAACGGGAGTTTGATGCTTGTAGTGGGAGTGTGTAGCGGGTGTGACTGTAGCTGGTGTGACTGTAGCGAAGCGTAACGCACTACCACACACACACGCACCTGATGGTGCGATATGTGCTGCGAGTCTAGCCAGGCGGTGGGTTGCAGGGCAGGAGACTTGTTGAGGGAAGATATATCCACCAGGAAAGAAATGCACGGCCGGGAGAGGAACATAAAGAGAGGAAAAGAAGGGAAATTACAAGGTTAATTGCGGCTAATTGGAGTATAGAGTAATTTAATGGAAGGTGCTAAGGTTGGAGAGAAATTAGAGCAGGACTGAGGAGAGTAGCAGGTCGGTTTGTGGGAATGTCTAAAAGCCAACTTCCCAGCCAGCAGCAGCCTCTCCAGCCTCAGCTGCTTTTCCCGTCAACTTGAAGGACAAAACACATGCACACAGCACGCACAACACATCCATCCGCACATACACGCACACACACCTGCAGCGTCAAGGCCATCCGTAGGAGCATCCAGCAGCAGCTTCTCCAGCCTCAGCTGGGTGATCATCTCTTGCTCCTTGGCTGCTAGCTGCACCTCATAGATTGGTTGATTTGCCAAGCGCTCCTGCAATAGACGGGCAGTCACATGGGATAAATGAGCACCTGCAAGCATCTTGCTTCGCCAGCCTCAGCTGGGTGATCTTCTCTTGCTCCTTCGCTGCGAGTTGCACCTCGTAAATTGTTTGATTCCCCAAGCGCTCCTAAAACAATGGGGAATAATTGGACCCTTGACATGGTTATACGTCTACACAAAACGAAGGCTGTGCACTGCTCCTTCGTTTTCCACAGGCATAATTCGCCGTATTATACGTCTGCACAGAGTGAAAGCTGTCCCCTTGAAATATAGAGATTCGTGCGTGTGGAAAACGAAGGAGCAGTCCCTTGAACTATATATACATACATACATATATATATATATATATAGATATATAAAGGTGCGGGCTTGACCTCCAGGCTGCATGTTGCTCATAATGCGGAATCCACTCTTAGCCTTGAGGTCAAACCCCCACCAAGCACCTCTAGGCCATTTCCTGGTTGCAAAAGCGCTACTTTCCTTCCAATGAACTTGAGAGTTTGTGCAGGTCTGATTCAGAGGGAAAAAGAAAGGGATTTCAATCAGGCATTTCCATATTAAAAACACACTATGTGTCAATCACCATGAGAGTTGAGAGAGTAACTCCGGCGCAGGCTTGCCCTGGGCATACGTAAATGACATAATTCCATGTTTGACAAATACCTTAAGCGCGGAGAGTATTTCCGAAGCAGGCTTGCCCTGGGCGCAGATGATGAAGATGTGGCCAAAGCGCTGCTCGTAGCGGCCATTGCACTCCGCCATCTCCTGAATGGGTGTTGGGCATGCAGTAAGGCAGGCAAAAAATCAGGCAGGCCAAAAAGCAGGCAGGCAGGCCAAAAAGCAGGCCGGCACGCGGGTGGGCAGGCGGGTAGACAGGTAGGGAGGCAGGCAAGTGGAAAGGCGTTTGATTTTGTTTCGTTTCGTTTCACGCTCTGGTCTGGAATGAGTGGTGCTTTCCTGGAAGGATGCGTTGTCAGATGCCTTAACTTATTGGGAGTCATGTTGGAAGCACACTCAGTGTAACTTACGATTACAAGGAGCACACTTAACACGTTTTCTGTCCTATATAAAATCCTATAGTGAGATGTGCTTGAATGGAAAAAAGAGTCATTGGATGATTGCAGCGCCGCTACTTGCTTTGATGCGCCTCAAAATCATTCTGAGGCGCCTCAAAAACCGAACTTGATTTTAACAACCATGTGATTGCCTGGAAGAATGAGTCGTCAAATGATTGCCGGGCTACTGCTTGCTTCGAGCATCCTCAAAATGTTCTGAGGCGCCTCAGAAAGCGGACTTGCTTTTGAGTACCATCAACTTGCCTGGAAGAATGAGTCATCGGATGATTGCAGGGCCGCTGCTTGCTCCCCTTGGGACCATCTGGGTGCAGAATAGAGACACGTGCATTGACTCAGGTTAACCATGTAATCCACGTTAAGAATACATGTAACCATGTAATCCACGTTAAGAATACATGTAAGAAACGAATACATATGTGCAAGAGCACATGTGCGTGCATGAGCGCATGTATTGAACGAATGCTGAGAATGCATGTGCATGCTTGTGAACACAACACAGCAACAAATTCTTCCAAACGTGAATGAACACGTCACACACTGTTGTGTGGAGAACTTTCGCTTTAGCGATGCCACGTCACCAATCCTGGGATGCGCACCGAAGGCCTCCAGCCAACCAGAGATGTCCACCTGGCACAGGATACAATCCATCAGGCCACCACACACAGCTATGTCTTCACCTATGAACGACTACTATGTGTTTAGGCAGTAAACGATAAGCAAATCGCGTTTAGGTGCCACGGCATCGCACTATGCGAAATAAAAATAGCAACCACAACATAAGCTCTTTCAACCCTCGTTACAAGCGACCAAAACGCAGCAAGGACCCTCGTTACCCCCGTATAAGAACACTAATCCTACAACACCCGGCGTCTGAGAAAAGATATCACACTTATGTAAAAGAGTGCGTGCAATACAGGGTGTGAATGAAAACCGCCTGGGCTTGCCTGATTCCACCACATGTCGCTAGCAGCCCTTTGTAGATCCTGTTTTTGAGGCGCCTCAAAAGCAGACTCAAAACAAGAAGGCGGGGTCTTTCTTGCCTGATTCCACCACACGTCGCTCGCAGCCCTTTGTAGATCTTCGAGGCTTCCAAACGAGCGGCGCGCTGCGAGGCTAGACGCAAATCTCTTGGAACCGCAGCAGCGAATCAACGCCTCGATCGCCTCGGCTTCGGGAAGCGCGTTGAGCCATCGCAATCCCGACTCGAGCCGCGTTTCTCTCCCTTGCTCATACCGATCCGATTCATCCATTGCGGTTGTGCGGACGAACTTAAGATTGGTCGCTGCTGCGTGT